TTGTATGTCAAATATAGCACACACGAATCACAATTATTTAGTGTTAAAAGTCATGTTTCTATACTTAGATATTACCCTAAATTTTACATTGCGTTATGGGAAAGTACCAATTTTATTTTAAATTACGCTTGATGAAATCTTGAAATTTAAAGAATTTTTTTGAGATTATATATATATTTTTTGAGATTACATCTATTTTTTAAACTCAAAATTTCAGAGAGGGACAACATGGGCCCTTGGCTTCATCCCTAAGTAGAAATAAATATAGTCAGTGCTAAAAAAAAAAATTGTGTAGAGCTTTATTCTGTAATAATTCCAGGTAATGTTTGCATATAGATCTTTACATTGAGTTATTTAGACTTAAAAACAAACATACTTCAAAGAACCTTTATTTCTTTTTTTAACTTTTATGTATTCAAAGAAAATTTATTTCTTTTTGAACTTTTATGTATTCAAAGAACCTTTATTTAACTTTTATGTATTTTTCCTAAAAATGAATTTNCCCCCCCCCACATTTCATGGTGTTCCGAATATCTGAAATTGTAGCAAAATACCCACTCACAGTCATATTTTATTAAAATATAAAATGTTTTTATCATGTTCTTTAAAAATTATGGTGTTCTTTCCAAACAAATGAAAGAAAAACATTGTTTCTAGAGCGAATTATCTTTTAAACTTCTATGATTTCAGAATTTTTGTTATTTTTATTTCATCAATTTCAAATTCTAGCTGAAGCAAGCCAGTCATTGGCAAATTTTTTTATTCCGAAATGAGCACAGAAAAATCAGATGTATTTCTTTCCTTTCTAATGAACAAGAAAAGTATCTTTAGAATATAATTCTGTAGAAAAAAAATTATATGCCTTTGTATTTTTTGCAGCTATTTTATTGCTTCAACTCTTTCTTTACTCTGTTTTTTTTTAAATTTAAAATCAGTAAATATGAAGATGCAGAGTATAACAGTTTTGGTTATACCCATTATTTCAATTAATGTTATAATGCTTTTTTAAATTTATTGTTGTGTTTTTGTTGGGAGAAAATAGTAACTTCGTTAAGTCGTGAAAAATTCTTGGAATTGAACATGGAATGTCATGAATTTGAAAATCTGAATTGTTGCAGATGACCTGTATTTTTTTCATCACAGTCTTTCAATATTGAGTTTTTGTTTTTCTACAAATTCCTCACAGACTTAGTCATGCACACTGGTACTTTGGCCAGACATTTTAAAAAATTTGATGTTATATTTTTCGAAAATTTCCAACTAACTATTCCTTTAAGGATATTTTGAGCTCTACATTGCTACATGCTCATCATTAGACTTTTTTCCACAGCAGAAAATTTACTAGCTTTAAGGTTTTTTTAGTTTACCCAGTGTTCTTCCCACAAAAAATACACAATTCACTTGCTTCTATTGAATTTTCTTTTGTTAGCCAGTTTGAGCAGCAGCATGAATCAATTTTATGTCCAATTCAACGTATCCTCCCACTAGAAATTCAGGCAAATGAAATGAGCATCATTGCAGATAAGAAACTTGGTGTAAAGGAATCGAATTGTGGTGCTGAATGTAAAATCAAAGGTGGGTGAGCCCCTGGTAAAACAATAATGCAGCAATATACTTCCTCTGGAGGATGTGTAAGAGCTCCCAAAAGACTTGATTTGTTTAATAATGTATTTTATGAGCTTGAGACTCACTCTGAGTCTCAACAGGGGGAGAATGTTGTAAAATGAAGTGAAGTGTGGAAAGAGTTGGCGATGCGAGCCTCGGTGCTTAGCGTCAGATTTTGTCATTCGATGCTATGATTCCGTCGGAGAAGTAAGCTCTGACGAGGAGCTGTTTATTTTTGTTGAATAAATGTTCTTTTGTATTTGGAAGGACTATGTGTCATTTTATTTCTAATGCACCCAGCATCTGGTAGATGCAGCCCAAGAACGAACTGGAATTCTCCTTCGGTTCCTATCATACAGCCCATTTCGATCGCCAATAGGTAATGAATTCTGCTACGTGCCACCCTTGGCCAAAGGATTAATAAAAAAACTTGCCACAACTCTTGTTTGCCAAGGTGCTGCCTGTAGCCCAGGGCTCGAAAAAACTCAGAAATTTTACCCGTCCCCGAGGACGGCATGTCCAGCAATGTACCCGGCCTCATTTGAAACTAACCCGTAGCTTCTAAAAAAATAATAACATAATTTTCCCCTATTTACTACAAATATTTATATAAATTGCACAATGAATTGGTAGTTACTAGGATTACAAATAATAGAATTACATTATACAGTAATAAGAAAAATACTAGGTTGCTAATAGTAACCTAGTATTTATTTTATGAAATAATTTAAATGACAAAAGTCAAGTTATCTGGAATGTCAATTTCTCCGCGGGTACTGCGTTTTTTTAAATGAATCAAATATGACGTTTGCCGGTTCCACAATCAAGCCAATGATTTACAGAGGTTTCTGCACAGAAATCTGAAAGGGATTTTGCCTTTAGGTAGATGTTAATATTTGCGTTTAACGCTTCTTGCTTAAGACCAGTACGTAATGTGTTTTTTTTTTTTTNTTTTTTTTTTTTTTTTTTTTTTTGCAAGTTCATTGCTGAAAATCCCCTTTCAACCGCTAAAGTACTCCCTGACAGAGAAGACATCAATTCCACCATACGCAGTATGTTGCTGTATTTAGAGATTAGAGGGTCATTTTAGAAGTGAGGTGCTAGACTCTTGAAAGATAACAAAAATTGAAAATGTATCACGAACATTAACGGAAAAATGGCCGTCCGGGCGGACGTCGGATTCGAGAAAATCGTTGTCCGCGGGGAATTTTTGACCGCCGAGGACGGGTGGACAGGCGGTTTTTCGAGCCCTGCTGTAGCCTATTCGCGACAGTAATACTCGAGAGCGCCATCTAGAAAGAGGACCATCTTCATGTTTTAATCTTCCTCTTTTCCCTCTATTCCTTTTCTCATTGGAATGTACTTCGGTATTTTCCCCTTTCTTAATATTTTTCATATTTCCTTGTAAAAAATATTTTTTTAAATTTCCTCGACATTTTATTTTACAAGTATCCTTAATTTTTTTTTTCAGTTTCATATAGTTTTCTAACTTAAAAGTTTTTAATCTATTTGGAAATCAAGACATAAACTATCACCTCGTTTTTTAAATAAACAAACAAACTGCTAGTTCAGCGGAAGTAACTTCCCCCGGTCCGTGCGAACTTCCGCTACATCGCTACAGCCTTCTTATTATTACGTTTCGCATTAGAGTCATTAGATTGTTGGCGTTTTCTCTTATCTTGACAGCGTTTGTTGTTTGGAAATAAAAGTTTGTTTTATTAAATCGAAGTGAGCTTTTCCTATTATCACAAGTGGAATGATGATGGCAAGAAAAAATTGTCATATAATAATATTCAGTTGTCTGATCCTTTTTCTGGAGAGTTATTTTAAAGTTTAAAATATGAAATGCAATTAAATTTTTAAAAGACACTGGTCTCTTGCAGCTAAATATTAAGATATATTCACCTCACAGATATACTACTTATTCATGGCATTCTAAAAACATGCACAGCTTAAAACTTGTAACTTTTGGATATGACATTGAAAGAAGTACAAAATGTGGCTTTATTGTCATTTTGTAACAGAAATTTTATTTTCTTCAAAAAATTAAATTTCATAATGATATTTTTTTTCTTTCTTAAATAAAAGCAATATCTTCAATTCCCGCCCGAAAACACAAAAGATATGTACTTCATTAAATTTTCTTAAAATGCATTTATTTTCTTTTTCTTTGGAAAGTTTAAATGCAATTAAACGCCTGCAATTACACGCCTGCTTTAAACATGTTTAAAGCAGGCGTGGTCAACACTGAGCATCTTGTGCACATCTTTTAGTGTAAAAAACCTTGAACATGGCAATTATAAATTTAAATTTTATGTCAAGTCAATAAGGGCTACCGTGTTAATGTTGTTCATTGAATTATTACACGTATAGTAACTTTTTTTTCTAGATCAAATTAAGCTATATGTTAGTAAATATCACAGATGTTATCTTTAAAATCTTGGGAAAATTGAAATGTTTCTAGTGAAATTTAAACAATGGCTAACATTTAATCAATCACAATTTTTTGCTCATCATTTTTATATATTTAAATAAGCAAGAAAATAATAAACAGAAAATTATGTTTCATTACTTTCTTTTTTTAAAAAAGAAACAATTTTACAATTACAAATAATAAGGAGAAAACTTACAAGGATACAAACACTAATGTGATTGCTGTATTGTTTTAATTCTAACTAGAAATTCTTTTATAATAAAAATTTGTTTAAAAAATTATATTTTTTCAATTTAAATTGAGATTGTGAGCCACACAAAATGCCACCTCTGGTTTAAAGTAACTTTATTTTTTGTATGTCAAATATAGCACACACTAATCACAATTATTTAGTGTTAAAAGTCATGTTTCTATATTTAGATATTACCCTAAATTTTACATTGCGTTATGGGAAAGTACCAATTTTATTTTAAATTACGCTTGATGAAATTTTGAAATTTAAAGAATTTTTTTGAGATTATAAATATATTTTTTGAGATTACATCTATTTCTTAAACTCAAAATTTCAGAGAGGGACAACATGGGCCCTTGGCTTCATCACTAAGTAGAAATAAATATAGTCAGTGTTAAAAAAAAAAAATTGTGTAGAGCTTTATTCTGTAATAATTCCAGGTAATGTTTGGGTATAGATCTTCAAATTGAGTTATTTAGAGACTTTAAAAACAAACACACTTCAAAGAACCTTTATTTCTCTTTTTAACTTTTATGTATTCAAAGAACTTTTATTTAACTTTTATGTATTTTTCCTAAAAATGAATTTTTCATATATCAACGATGATTGAATCAGTCTAAGTAAAAACAGTAGAAAAGAAATAAGTTCCGGTTGGTCCGGAAGTTTATGCGGACCATAACGTCTGCAAGCTAAAATAAGCTCCGCCCACAGATAAGGTGCAAAAAATTGAAATCAATTAAGTGGTAAGTGAAAAGAGTTGAAGTTGCAATTCACAAAAATAGGCAGTTGAAATCGTTTTGTCCCTTATAGCAGTACTTTTTCATTCTGAAAAATCCCTTCCTAGCAATCGTGCAAGTGGGAAAATATTTAAGTTATTATATTGTATGGTTACGAGGTATGTATGTAAGGATAGTTTTGAGCTTAATAAATTAATCAAAACCGTTTTTATTGCTGTAAATTTCTAATACATTTAAACTGGATCATGTAATAAAACTACCTACCCAGGTGTTTTTAAAAGTGTTACCAATTGTCAAATGAGTACTTTAATTATTCACATGGTCTGACAGTTGTCAAACAACCTTTATAAGTTTATTTGCCGTAGGAGATTTTCTAATTAATTTATTAATTAAGGGATTTATTAAACAATTCAACTATATGTGGGTGTAAATCAGGATTTTCGAACTTAAATTATTTTAAAATCGATGTTTACATATTATTTTAAAATCGAAGTTTACTAATGTTACTTATTGCAAAATTATTTATGAGTCAACATATTTATAGTTTTCACCCTTATTCATTAGAAAAATTGAATTGTAAATGATATTTTTAGTCAATTAAAATTTGACAGTTATTATTTTTAAATTTTCATCTTAATAAAAAGCAAGGTATCTGAAGCTGTTAAATTGTATTGTACCAATATATTTTGTGTTTCTTCATTCATTACGGAAATTCGGATGTTAAAAGTTTTCTTTTTTAGCATTTAAGGCTTATTTTTGTCCCCCTTTGCTAGGAATGCAAACTTATTATAAGAGCTTCCGAACTCTTAATGAAGCTATTATTTTTATTATTTCTCCAAAAATTCTTCTTCCCTATTCAAAATTAAATCTACTGCCTACATTTTATCAACGGATATTTCCATATTGTAGAATGTCCAGCCAACTTTAATTGCTTGGATACAGAATAGATTTTAAACAAGCAAATTTAACATGGTGCATAGCATTTTTAAAATGTCTTATTTTCTTTTCCTTAAAAGGCCTTTAAAGGTGCTTTTGTCATAGGGTGTTTTTATAAAGTGCTTAATTTTCCTTTTCAAAAATGAGATTTTTTTCTTTACCATGTTGATTTTCATCACGTATTATGCGAAAGCGTGCTTTTCACATGGTTCTATTCAACGTTTTCACAATTCATTCAACAACAATCCATTTCAGCCTACCGTCGGTCCATAGCGTATGAGCGTAACTATCACTACAAATGTTAAATACCAAATCACTAGTATATAAGACGTGTTAACTTAATTTTATCTTGAGGTACCTTTTGATAGATGAAGGTTGACAAGTCTAAGATTAAATCCCTTCAATGGTGACCTGCGGACGTGATATGAACTTGCTAACATGATGGATGGTCCACAATAAACAGTTGATTTACTTAATATAAACTGCTCAAAGAAAAAAAGGTCCGGTGAAGTAAATAAAGTCTCCCGGTTATAAACAGTATAGGAAGAAAGAAATGAGCGAAATGCTATAAACAAAATAATAAGGGAAAAATATAAATAAAAAAAATTATGNGGACGTGATATGAACTTGCTAACATGATGGATGGTCCACAATAAACAGTTGATATTACTTAATATAAACTGCTCAAAGAAGAAAAGGTCCGGTGAAGTAAATAAAGTCTCCCGGTTATAAACAATATAGGAAGAAAGAAATGAGCGAAATGCTATAAACAAAATAATAAGGGAAAAATATAAATAAAAAAAATTATGAGCTATAAAAAAATGAAGAAAATATAATGAGCAAAATTAACTAAGTATGTTAACAGCATGAATCAACGAGTGGTAATCGTTCATCGAATTCTATCACAGATAAAATTCTGGAAGGAGAGTAATGTGGCGTAACTACCACTACAAATATTAAATACCAAATCATTAGTATGTAAGACTTGTTAACTCGATTCTATCTTGAGGTACCTTTTGATAGATGAAGGTTGATATAGTCTATAATTAATTCCCCGCACATTCAACAACAATCCATTTCAGCTTACCGTTGGTCTATAGTGTATGAGAGCGCCTATCATTTTACATGTTTGGTGAAATACTTGCGGGTTCGCATGAGCATCTACTGAACTGGGTTCGGTCAGATTCTTGCACTCTCCTGTGCAACTCTGGCTGCATTTTGCCAGATATTTTCAATTTCAGATTTCATTTTCCTCCCTTTGATATCAAACCGAAAAGTCTCTGGCCCTGTGGCAGAATTTTTTCGAGCTATCTGCGACAAAACTTTCTAACACTAATAGCTTTCTGCAAGATACTTTTAATAATAACAAACATATATGTTACTCATTTTAAATAACAAAAGTTTGTGTGCGTGTTTAAATAGTAAAAGTTTGGGTAAAAAAGTGTTTACAAAAAAAAAACTAAATATTTTTATTTAATTGAAAGCGTAAAAATTTTTTATTTTAATATTACAGGTGATATTCTCGCATTTTGGTGGGGATGGGACGCAGAAATTATTTAATTCTTCGCATTTTATAACTAATCATCACGGTAAAAACAAAAAATTAAAATCAGGATTGTAGTAATTGCCGAAAAAAGATAGATGACGAAATTGCGTGAATCGGATTCATAAAATGCGTGTTTTGTTTCGAGATAAGGTTGTTGTGATACGATAAGAATTTTTTATGCGCTATCATTGGTATCGTATAAAAAATTTCGGATTTAAAAACTATGGAGAAATCAGTAGCAATAACTGCCAAAAATTCGATGTAATTATTGCCTTAAAAAGTAAATTATCAAATGCGTGATTCGAATTTTCCATATTGTTTGAAATATATCGGTATATTTAAAGTCCACGTGAAAATCAATATAAATAACTGTTGAAAATTCAATCGAAGCATTATATCGATTTACGATACTATCAGTGTAAATTGAGCGCTCCAAAAAGGAGTTATCAAAATGCATGATTCAATTAGGTAATACGTGTAAATTTCTGTAGAAGAGAAAAGTTTTTTTTCTTCTATTTTCAAAAGAAAAATCTTTTTGCGAGAACTCTGTACCGTTCTGCGACAGTGTCGCTGCGATTCTGCCACGTGGGTCTCTGGATCATTTTATAATGGCTAATATAATCAATAAAAGAGATATTCATCAGAAACTAGTTATTTTATGATGATCATGTATAATTGTTTTTGAAAACTATTTTGCATTTTGTTAGAGTGAAGAGTGCTTAAAAATATTTTTTGAGTGCTTAAAAAGTACTTGAAAGGTGCTTATCTTTCATTGAAAAACCCTATTTAACAAAAATAAATGTTGAGATTTTCTCAGTATTGTTTGGCATTTAAATTGGGTCCCATCTGTGGTCTTTGAAAATTATTTTGCATTTTGTTGTATATTCTGCTTAAAAATATTTTTCAAGTCCTTAAATAGTGTCTTTCTTTTTTTTAAACTTTTTTTTTTAGGAAAACTGGGTATATTTGAGGAAGAAAATTTTATTTCTTTCAGATAAGCAAGTGAGGCATTGTTTCTTATGAATTTTTCAATGCTGAATTGAATAAAATCAACACTGAGATGATCTGTCTAATAGTTTAGAAGTTAAATAGGTTTTATGTACGAAAAGTAATCAAATAAGACTATACAAGAGTCAATAGATTGAAAATTGTAACATATAAAAGTGCTTTATTTATAAAAATTATTTTTATTTCTTGTACTTGAAGTTTTTAAAAATGGTATCTAGAAGCTAGAAAAACCCAACCCGGGTGGGTTTTATTGGGCTTTTCTGGGTTTTTCATGTTTTGGGGGGGGGGAGGTTTCAAAAGAGAGGGCAGGTATAGGTACCTTATTTTAATATTAATAATGAAGTTTAATTTCATGAATTGACTTCATATAGATAATTATTACAAATAAATTGATGTGAAAGTCTAGAAAAANGATAAGTACCTTATTTTAAAAAAGCTTATTTTAATATTAATAATTAAGTTTAATTTTATGAATTGACTTCATATAGATAATTATTACAATTAAATTAATGTGAAAGTCCTAAAAAAAGTTTCTTCTGACATCACGATACAAAATGTTATATGTACTCACATCACGCATTTGAAACTTATTTTAAAGCAGGATTACTTTTTATTTTAATTTTAAAAAATATTTGAGGAAAATTTTTTATTTGCATAAAGAGTGAATCAATGGCACTGAATAATCAATGGCCATACAGTCAAATCTAGCAAGCAAGGTGACTCTCCAGTCTCGAATACAATTAGTTTCTTCACTATAGGTTAATTTTTTTTTAGGTTAGACTACATATATATTTCAATAGAATAGCTCTTTAATATAACAGAGGATAAAAAAAGAAATCACTCTTAGAAAAACCCAGTAAAACCCACTTTAAGGTGGGTTTTACTGGGTTTTTCGGAGTGGGTTTTACCCAGTAAAACCCGGGCGGTTTTATTGGGCAGGTGGGTTTTTTGCAACCGTGAGAAGCTATCTGAACATGTAAAACATTTTCCAATGTACTTTTTCATTCTGATGTACATTTTCAATTCCTGATTCAATGTACATTTTCATTTCATATAAAATTCAAGTCAATGGAATGAACAGTTTTGAAATTATAAATTAGAATTTCTTCATAATAACTACTATTTAAAAAAGTATTACTTTTATATAAAAAAAAAGGAAGTTTTACTTTTATATAAAAAAATTATTAGTTTTAAGCTAGAAAATATTAATAGGAACCAATACCTCGCTTTTATGTATAGCAACATAAGGTGTGTACACAAGTGCTAGTACAAGGTTCAGGGTATTTGTGTGCCTGGAAAATCATGGAAAGTTATGGATTTCAACCTTGATCAAAATTTGTCATGATTTTCAGTGATGAATGCTAAAAATAATGGTAACTCCTGGGTATTGGAGTATAGCAAATAACTTTACATCAAATAACTTTGCAAATCAGGCATTTAAAATTTTATAGCCATAAAATAATTTGCTGAATATTTGGAAAAAATAAGATAATTTGGAGGAAATTAATTACTTAAAACTATATGAAATTAAAATGCCCGTCTTTAGTTATCATTTTTAATATATTGACTGACTACTTTATGACATCATATGAGGCATTTATACAGCTGATATATTTCCATTTACAATTAAATTTTTTTAATTGTAAGATTTTTAGAATTTTAGATTTCTTTTAAATTTTAAAAGTTTTGGAATATTTGTTCTGATTATGACATTTTCCTTTTAAAATTTTTTTTATCCCGCTCGCCATATCCCCGACGGGGATTCTCTCTATCATCAGCAGATGGCACTACAATAATAGTCATTTATAACTTCTGAATAATATGAATGTGTTGATTTATGCTTATCTGAGCTGAGAAGTTTATTTTATACAATCTCATTGAAAAAAAAATTTAAAAAGTTCTTCTCAATTGTTTAAGTTATTGATAATACAAGGCGTGATCAAATGAAAAGGTACGAAACGATGTAAGAACGTAACAGTTAAATATTTTCATATTCCGCTATGAGATAACTTAGCGAGACATCTTGGGATGCGATTGGAGTCTCTGACTGGGATCGGAGCATGCGCCGAAGAGAGCAGAGGCCCTTATCAAAAGCGGTGTCCAAATGATGAGGCAGTCCGTATGAGGACAGGATGGCGTTCGCCCTGCAAAATTCGACGATTGAGGAGCAGAGAGGTGTTATCCGATTTTCTCGAGCACGGAAAACCATTAACTCCGATGTGTACTGTGAGACACTCTGACGCCTACGCAGGTCCATCAAGGACAAAAGACAGGGGCTGCTCACGGAGGGTGTGGTTCTGCTCCATGATAACGTGAATCCACACGTCTCCAGAGTCACACGCATGGTACTGGCCAATTTCTAGTGGGAGATGTTGGACCATCCGCCCTACAGTCCGGACCTGTCGCCCTGCGATTTCCACGTGTTTAGTCCACTGAAGAATCACCTGAAAGGGAAACAACTCGGAAAGGGAAACGCTCTTCAACTTGGACGACATACTGATGACGCTGTGAAGGACTGGGTCTCGTCGCGGCCACAGGAATTCTGGGAACAAGGAATCCTGCGTCTTGTTCATCTGTGGGATCGTTGTACTCAGACCTATGTTGTATATTTTGAATAAAGTCTACATTTGTACCTACCGTACCGTTTCGTACCTTTTCATTTGATCACCCCTTGTATGTTATGAAGGGGGGGGGGAATTTAAAAATATGAGGATGAGAATGAAGCTAGCATAATCCCCTTGATCACAGTGTGAAATAAAAGTATTTTTAATTGAATTTCTGTTACATTTCTATGGTTGCTTGTGGCTTTATGATATCCATAATAATAAAATATCTAAATTCAATAATAAAGCTCGGATCCTTTTGCTCATCAAAACAAGTGAATTAGGAAAACAAAACTAAACATCTTTCTCGTTGGACCAGTAAGAGGGATTCAAATTTAATTACTTAATGCAATCTTTTTTTTTTCTTCTTTCTATTGAAAAATTGTTTTAAAAATAGCAACGAAAATGAAAAGCAAACACTGTTAATAAGGCTATAAATCTACCACCAGGATGCAAGTTAACAGCAAGTTAAGAAACCGACAGTTACGAAACTGGCGGTCAAAAAATAACGAAGAATACGCTTTTTGACTTATTCTTCATTATTTGTTGACCGCAAACAAAGTTTCCAAACCGGTGTTTCGGAACCAGGGTTCGTAATTTTTTTGATTTTTTAAAAAAAAAATCAAACAAATCAGACTTCTTTGATTTAAATCAGATTTTTTTTATTTTTATTCAAATACACTGTAAGAACTTTAATTCATGATTAAAAAAACTTTATAAATGTTTAATCAAAATTAAATTAATATTAAAACTATATTATAACAATATTTTAGAAGCTATAACTTACTAAAATAATTTTTCATTATAATACATAGCTTTGAATGCATAGCAACCATTTTGAAACAAATGCATGATTGAAATTTAAAGACTAGATGAAATAGAATGTAATACAGATTTTAATTCCATGCTTTTTCATTCAAAAGGTAGAATTTTAATTAACATTATTTGCATTATTTTTGGAAAAAAATTCATGTTTATTAATTACTTTCTACAGCTATGCAAGTCTATATTAAGACATCATTAAATGTTTACTTTAATCTATAAATTCAATCTCAAGAATCAAAAGATTTTTAAAAATTTAATTTCAAATGTGTTGGAATTTAACACACACCAAGAAAGAAAATAATTTCGTTAACTAAAATGAATTAATGCAGCAATTTATTTAAAATAAATATTAAAACTAAGTAAAGAAAATAATAAAAGTATCAATAATTTAAAACACTGTTTTTTAACTTTTGAAATAAATAAAAAATTAATTGATTTAAATCAATGATTTTTTTAAAAAAATCATTTGATTTAAATCATGATTAAAATCGTGATTTAAATCAAACTCTGTTCGGAACTGGGAGTTTCATGTTAGGTCAGAGTCGATGGCGAATAATCTGACAATCTTGAAGCAATCTCTTATGAATCTGACGATCTTTATGAAATTCATAATGTGTAAAAAATGTCAAATTATTTATTTATATTAAATCGTCAAGAATATTATTTGCACTGATTAAATTAACATTAGTTGGGCATTTCGTGTTGGTGCAAAAATTATGCCTGTAATAAAAGTTTTTTTTAGCACTATGCGTACCATAATTGGTCAAATGACCGTTTAAGAACTTTTGCATAGAAAAGGTGCTTGTCATTTTTGCACATTAGATTTCATGGCTTTTTCTAACAATTATATACAGTTAATATTCTATTATCAGTGTTTTCATCGTAGAAAAAAAATGAAAAACAGGGTGAGATTTCAGAAAGTTAAGTGAGATTTCTAAAAACTAAAAAAACGCAAATAGACTTGAAAAAAAAAAATCATTTCTTTTATGATAATACATTTTTAACGTCTTCTATTTTTTAAAGCATTGAATATTTTTGCTGCATCATCATAGAAGATTTTGCCTTTGCTAGGTATTTGTCCATCTTACATTAGTGCATAAAAAATTTTAATGTCTTACATGAAAAAACCTTACCTACGGTAAACACGTGGTTGCAGAGAAATGTGTTCTGAAAGGGGTTCCGTGGTTCGGAGGGGCTGTGTTCTGTTGTTTGAAAAAGTTTCTGAACAATACTGGTTAATAGGGAAGCTAGATAACGGGGCAAATGTTGAAAATAATGAAAGATCCAGGAAGAAAAGTGAAACGGATTTTATTCTACACTGATTATTGTTATTTTGTGTTTGTTTTGAATAATACTTACCATATACCTATTTCTACCACAACGGGTCATTTGACCGGGAGAACAATTTATTGCTTTATAAGGTTATCGGATTAGAAATTACGATGTAATCCATGTTCAACTTATTGCATTAGATTAGTTGCACATTTCTGCAAAGACTGTTGCATAGTTAGTTCAATCAGATTATAACTGTGAATTCAAATTTCAAGAAAGTACCTAAAATTTTAGATTGACATATTTGTGTAAGAAAAAGTGACAAGAACTAAATGCTTTGGTAAGTAGCTTATATTTTATTTTGATAGCTTTACTACATTTCTAACTAACTGTCAATTTTTTCCCAGAAAAATTTTGAAACAATCAGGACAGCACAAGTTCTTAGAAGAAATAATATTAATTATAAGAACTATAATTCTTCTTTATTCTTATAATTATGCAAATTATAATTCTTTTATATTCATATAATTATTTTAATAATTATGAGAATTATAGAAATAATAGTAATTAGAAGAAATGTTTTCGGAAAATGTACAATGGAAACACCCTGTATATGTAAAAAATGTGTTGAGCAATGAATTAAAAAGACGCCCGGTGGCTGAGCGGTAGCGCTTCGCGCTGTCGTGCCACAGGTCCTTGGTTCGATCCTTGGGCCGGGCAAGGCCGACTCAGCCTTTCATCCCTTCAGTGGGTCGATAAAATGAGTACCAAGCATGCTTGGGAACTAACACTGGGGGTTCCGCGTTCGGCTGACCACCTGACCGGAACATATGCTCCTGCACCCCAGAGCCCAAGGTCAAGAAAACTGAGATGGGCACAGTCGGCCTTGGCCCTCTTAATGGGCTGTCGCGCCACTGAGTTAATGAATTAAAAATTCTTATTCTTTGTGTTTGTAATACATAAAAATTGACAATATACAATTTTGTTTAATTATAATAAAGTTTTTTTTGTTTAGCTATGGTAGAAATAGGTATATTAAGCGCTGGTATGTTTAGTGTTAATGACAATTTGCTTCGCTGGTACAATCTTTTTAACATTTTAATAATTTTACTTACTACTGTTGAAACACCTACAGTAATTAAAAATGTTTTTCAGCTTTCATTGTCATCATGTTTAAAGGCCTATCAACTTTGGAAGCTTATGAGAGGTGCATATCAGAAGGATTATGTGACAAACATTTTATTGATTTTGAAAAAGTAAGCCTGTATTTGCTTCATTTATTTAATGATCGAATAATTAGCTTGAATTATTAACTCTGAGTTTGATTAATCAAACTCACAATGGTATTTAGTGACACCCATTCAAGAATGCATTTCACATTGTTCTTTTCAATGTTTTCACAATTTATTCTACCACAATTTATTTTGGCGTTCTGTCTGTCATTAGTGTATGGAAGCGCCTATCATTTTACATGTTTGAAGAATTACTTTCGAGTTCAAATGTGCATCTACTGAGCTGGGTTTGATGAGATTCTTGCTCTCTCATGGGCAACTCTGCTGCATTTTGGAAGATATTCTCAATTTTAGGATTCATTTTTCACTGTCTGATATCGAACCAAAAAGTTTTTTGATCTTTTTATAATGAATAATATAATCATGAGGAAGAGTTCTTTGTCAGAAAAAGGTTATTTTATCATGATAATGTAAAGTATTTGAAAATCATTTTTCATTTTGTTAATGTACAGAGTGTTTAAAAATATTTTTGATGGCTTAAAAAGTACTATGTAGTGTTTTGGCCAAAAACCAAAGATTCAGCTGATTCAAAAAAATATCAGTTGAATACCGAATATTCAACAGCCGAATATTTAAAAAAAAATTTTTTTTTAAACAAAGATTATTAATAAATATTATTTTTTATATATAAATAAATTAAGTTATTATTGAAAAATAATCAAAACTTCGTTGTTTTATTGGTAAGGCGTAAAGAGAAAATTTTTTTTTAATAGAAATGTTAAAAATAAAGATAATTCGAAATTAAGATAATTAGATAGATTTAAGATAAATAAAAATTGATGAACAGCTATTTAAAAAAAAACTAAAGTTGTAAAGTTAAACAAAAAAATTATTAGAAATAAACCTAGTCTTAATTCTGAAAACAAATCTTTAATGCTAAAAAGGAAATTTTTCCGACATTTTTTTTTCTCTATAAAATGTTAAGGGATAATGACAATCAAAAACGCTTTTAAAAATGAAAAATTGTCCTTTGTCTTAAACTGTCCAAAACCCTTTTATTCAAATTATGTCATAATTTTAATAAAAATTATTGTGAAAAATAAAAGGTGCATTTTTGATAAAAAACAAAGACAAAATGAAGATAAATTTTTGTTTTATTAACGAAGTCTATTATTATTTTTAATATTACATTATTTATCCTTATGCAAAAACATAATTTATCAGTATTAAAAGCATATTTATTCGTATTTAAAGGACTAGATATTCACTTTTGTTCAATGAATTGTGGAGGAGCTTCAAAAATTTGAATCTTTTCCTATTGTATTATATTATGTTCCTTTAATAAGTTAGAGTAAATTGTATAAAAAGTATAAAATATTTATTCACATATGTAATTATTATGTGTACAATGGTTACACATATAGAATTTTTACCTTTTACCAATGATCAAGGTTTTGGATACTTTAAGACAGTTTTAATCAGTTTAAGACTGTAAAACCCACGTGTCCCATCCAAAAACCAGTTTAGGACGTCCAAAACCCCAACCTTGACCTGAAGTAAATAAATAAATCTGTTTCGTTGGGTAGTTTTTGCAAGTTGATTTTATACTTATTTTCATTCAACTAAGCTCTTATGATAAATTTATTAAATGATTTTGAAAGTGATGTTTTTTTTAAAATAATTTTACTGTGCTAATGGTCCTTTCATTCAGTTTCTGAGACAAATCTAATGAATTATTATTGTTATATTTAATTAATTATCAAATTAATTATTAGTTACTATAATTATTACACACTACTATAATTATTATTAATTATAGTAGTGTGTTTTCCACTACAAAAATACAATTCCAATTCACTAGTATGTAAGACAAGTTAACTCAATTCATAGATGATGGTTGACATTGCTGGTTACTACTATCCCCACATTGGTGACCCGGATGTAGTACGAACACGCCTACTTCGATGTATGGTTAACATTGAACAACTACTTGTGACTGCAACATTATCCACCTCCTTGCGCTGTTGCTACCCTTTCTCGATCACACACAACGTCAGTCTGCGTACACTCGACTGCCGATGACAACACAGGAGTAATCGCGACCTGAACTTACTACAGCTCTCACGATCAGCAAAAGTACGGTGATCTTAATACAGCTCTCCTGTCTTCTCACAGAACAGCAATGAATCAACTAGTGGTATCTGTCCATCCAATTCTATCACAGATATAATTCTGGTGGGGGAGTACTGTAGGGTGTCTACCACTTTAAAAATAAAATTCGAATTCACTAGTATATCAGACAAGTTAACTCGATTCTATGAAGGGCTATCTTTTCATAGATGAAGATTGACACCGCCGATAACTACTATCCCCACAGTGTGTTTTTTGAAGATGTTATATTTTTATTATTAATATTAGACAGCTTTCTTTAATTGAAATTCTTATTGTAATCAATCTTGCAATTTTTAAAATTCCTTTCATTAATCTTTTTTGTTTGTTTTTTGTTTCAGGAGTTAAGCAATGAAGCGAGGCATGAGTGTAAGCATAAAAACTTTTTCCTAGAGTACTAGTACAGGGTTACCACTCCAGAGGGAAAACCTGGAAAATACAGGGAATTTGAAAATCGCCTAAAATAACAGGGAAAATGCAGGGAATTTTGTTTCGTATGGGATATTTAGCCGTGATATTTCAGCTATACTTAATTATTTCATTTACTATAGCATTATTTAAGTATGTTAAACTCTTTTTACAGCAATTAAAACTAATAAATATAGTAAGCCCAATGTAACACACACAAGATCACAGTAATTGTTTCCTCTTGATTGTGTATAATATGTGCAGGGGAAAACACAAGGAATTTTTTTTCCTGTTTCAAGTGGCTACCCTGTAGTAACAATATTCCTACTAACTTCCAGTGAAATTAATTCATCTCAATATTCAGGTTCATCTGAATTTCTCAACGCAACTTGACCTCATACGATTCAGCATAAAAAATACATAATAAACAAAATTTTTCTTCTTATCGATTGCGTAAATATGTGTAAAACAAAACTTTCTTTTTTGTACATTTTAGTTGGTCAAACCCTTTTTACTATGCTATTAGCTTTATCAACTTGGTTTGAAGAATTTTCGATTCATCATAAAATAGTACTTAGCAATACCTCACTTGTCTGAATAGCAATGTCAGATGTGTACAGTGATTCTCTAAAACTTTTAAACTTTTGGTCCTTTTTTACTAATAGCTGACCCATATTTAAAAAAATATATATAAGTCTCCACTTTAAAGATATGCCTAAAAAGTAAACCAACTATGAGTGTGGAAAAAATGCAATTTTTGATTTAATAATAATTGAAGGAAGAATTCAAGCTGAAATTTTACATAATTCTTTTTTTCTTTCAAATATCAAAATTGTGTGATCTTTTCAAAAGAAAATCTATGTTTTGTAACGAGTGGTTTTGTTTACATACTACAACATGTTATAATACTCGTTACACATGTTAAGCATGTTAATGTGCCGAAAATTGTAGATAGTGCTTGAAGAAAAATAATGATGTTGGATGATTCTTCAATGCTGGGACAAAAAAAAGGAGGGTTCCAGCATTATTTTATCTAAGCAATATTCAGGTTATCTAAGCAAAATTATAACTGAACTTCAAATATATAAAAAGAAAATAATTTTCCTTATTAGTAGAAAAAGAAAGTTTGAACAATTCTGAGTATCAAGTTTCACCCTCGCTTTTCCTATATGGTAGATTCCTAATTAAAAACCATGATTGCTCTAAAATAACAATTCTTGTTTTGAAATTCTTTATTTTGTCTATTATTCTAAGGTTGCACAACCTGCGGACCACATGCAGCAGCTTCTGAACGCAATAAAAAAAAATTAATGTGGTTTTTGTTTAAACATTATAAATTTTCTTTAATTAAAATATTTAATTCAATTTTATATTATTCTATAAAATGCGCATATTTTTTGCTCTTTTATTCTGTAATCTTCTTTTTGGTTAAAATTTATATCCCAGCAATATATATAGATATATATTTTTGATAAATTAATTTTTGTGAAAAATGGAATAAGTATTTTATAAAAAGAATCAGTTTTTTTAGTTTTAAATAAATTCAAATAATTAAAAGTATTTAATTTTCTGAAAATATGTTATTAAGTTTATTGATAAAAATATTTAATGCTTAGAACACTAATGTTTTGACAAAAATTATCAGCCACTAACTTGACTAAATATGTGTGTGACCCTTCATTAATCTACCTGCTGTGAGAGTGGCCCTTCACTCAAAAAGGTATGCACCCCTTTATTAGTCAATAGAATAATTATGAATGTTAATAGATGGATAAAGAGGTAGAGAACTCAAATTTTAAAATAGGACCCGCTTTTTTTAAAAGGAGCCCCAAAATTAAGAAAGCCCTGTATCCTATACAAAGAATATATAATGTGAGAAGAAGTCTAACTTCTTCGTTACGTAGCTGGGGTCAGCTAGGAGCTTCTGTATGACAAGAAAAGCAACAAAGGTTTTTCAGCTGACGTGTGCACATATGTTCATCCATTGTAGCCCCTCTAAGCTTGTTTAACAGCAAATTTTTTGCCATCTTTAAAGTTACTGTCTTCATATCTATTTAAATTATTACATCTATGCAGGGCTGATTGTGTTCCGGAAAAAATCCGGATTTCCGGACTTTTCGCTAACAGTGATCCGGAAGTTTCCAGAGATCGAAGGTTCAGACGTTTCCAAAAATCATTGACCACAGAAGTTTCCGGAAATCAAATTTTCAAAGGTGGAACTTAAAAACACAGTTTATTTTTTTTGTTTGTAAGGGAGAGCCAGAGAGATACTTTATGAGCTTATATTCATGATTAATATTCATTTTTTATCAGTAAATAGTTGTTATAATCATGAACTCAAGAAAGAAAGACGTATTTATAAATTTTAATTACTTCCCCAGGTCATCATAGGTAGGTTTAAATGGTATAAGTGTAAAATTTTAAAAATATTTTAAGTAAACTAAGAAATATTGAGCAAAAAGAAAAAAACCTTGTTTAAATTTTTTTCTAATTTTTCAATTTAAACTTCTTTTTTTTTAAATCAAGAAATTTTCTGGAATTTTGACTTGGGCTCACTATCACCCCTGTCTATGTTAAAATAATAAATTATATTTATTTTGTAATGAATTCGTCACAAGTAAGTATTTTCCTAGTTTAATGAGTAAACCTTTTTCAAAACCAACAAGTGTGTGAAGCCCAAAAGCAGACGGAGTCACTTTTCATTAGATAGCTATTTACATGAGTGGGAAGAGACAAAGGAGGGGAGGAGTGTTTGTTAACAGCAGAGAGAAATGGGGGGGAGGTTGTTTTCCTAGCAATACTTCCACAGCTCGATGGAGTTAACCGGTGCCTTCAGAACAGGTTTGAGTGGGGGCCTATGAGAGCTGGTTTTCTTCTCACTTATATATTCAGGGTGCGTAGCATTTTTAAAAGGTGCTTATTTTCGTTTTTTAAAAGCCCTTAAAGGTGCTTTTTTCATTGGATGTTTTTAAAAAGTGCTTAATTTTCGCTTTTTCAAATTGAGATTTTTCCTTTACCATGTTGATTTTCGCTACAAATTATGCAGAAAGACACTGTTCACATTGTTCTATTCAACGTTTTTGCAATTAATTTAACTCCAATCAATTCCGGCGTATCGTCAGTCTGTAGCGTATGAAAACTCCATTCGATGTACATGATTCAAAAATTTTAACAATTGTCAAGACCAATGCCAAAAGTTTTTTTTTTGATATGACAGTTAAAACCAGATAAAACCGTCAATTGTCAAAAACTTTCCAACCCTACCTAATTATGATATTTTTTAAAGTGCTCAAAAATATTATTTGAGTACTTGAAAAGTGCTTAAAGGGCGCTTATTTTTTGTTGAATAATTTGGCTACGCACCCTGATATTCTTTGCGCTAAGTTCTTGAAATTTCCATGGTACTTAACTGAAATTCCCATGGTAGGACATGAGAGTGTTAAAAAGACAATTTTTTGGTGTTCTTTTGATAGGTCGGCTCGATTTGTTACAGGATAGACTTAGGTTCACCTATTGGGCTTGAAGCTCAACTTATAAAATAATTTCCTGTTTTTCCATATTTTTTTCTATATTCAGCTAATTTTTTTGAAACGCAGGGACTACCCTTATAATATCTATATTTGTTTATTTTGCAGTACAAAGAAAAGCCTTTCTTTACATAAGATTACGTATATTGGATCCATTGCTATTTGGAAAAAAATTTATATTTGAAAAGATGGAAGCTTTGATATCAAAATCTGATTATTTTTCTTCCAAGTAAGAACTTTTTATATTTCTGTAAAATTTCAAAATACTAGAGATTAAATTAAATAATGTTATAACTGTATGATGAAGTATGATTTTTTTTTAGAATTTTTACAATTTTTATGAAGAAAAACTTGATTAATAAAATGTTTTTTAACTTTAAATTTTATGTGGATGAACTAAGAGACTATTAACTTATTTTTTATTCTTGAAAGATGCAGTAATTAATTAAAATCTGTGATTTATATATATATATATATATTTCAAAATTTTTAACATCTCTTTAGATAGTTTGTGTAAAAATATTTTAATCTAATTGATAATTCATTTGTCATAGAATTTTTCAGATTGTGAATTGACAGATTGTTCTTTTGTTTATTATTGTTTTTACTTCGTGTTAGGCTGCATTCAAAATTATTCAAGCACTCAATTAAATCTATTAAGTTCTGATTAAGAAATGTTAAACTCTATTATAATTTTTAACAGAATATTAAATCTTCATTTTGGTGCTTGGTAATAATTGAATCCCATTGATAGTTCATAGCTTATTTTTCTTTATAACATGTCACTAATTACTAGAATATTACTTTCTTCTTAATAAATTAAGTTCAAGTAGTGTAGTAATAAAATGAGTTGACAGATCATTCTTTTGTTTATTATTATTTTTATTTAGTGTTAGGATGCATTCAAAATTATTCAAACACTCAATTAAATCTATTAAGTTCTGATTAAGAAGTGTTAAAATCTATTACAATTTTTAACAGAATATTAAATCTTCATTTCGGTGCTTGGTAATAATTGAATCCCATTGATAGTTCATAGCTTATTTTTCTTCATAACATGTCACTAATTACTAGAATATTACTTACTTCTTAATAAATTAAGTTCAAGTAGTATAGTAATAAAATGTATTTTGTTGCACAATACTACAAATTCTAGCATTTTACGCAACAAAATATGCTAATTTAGTGGTTTTCTTTATTTTACCCCCTAAGGATGCCTAAACAGATTTGCAGCTATGTTTACATCAAGCTGTACACTTACCTGCAACTTGCGCAGGGTTGCCACTCCACAGGGAGAACAGGGAATTTAAAAATAATCTAAAATACCAAAGAGAATGCTGTGAATTTTGAATTTTTATTTACAAACTGGGTAAAATCATCTAAATTATCAAAGAGAATGCAAGGAATTTTGAATTTTTATTTACAAACTGGGAAAAATCATCATCTGAAAATCATCTAAATTACCAAAGAGAATGCAGGGAATTTTGAATTTTTATTTACAAACTGGGAAAAATCATCTAAAATATCAACGAGAATGCAGAGAATTTTGAATTTTTATTTAAAAACAGGGAAATTTCTTTCTTATTTTTTTCTTTTAAAAAATGCAGACTTCTCAAAGCACAATCTATGGGATATATAAAGATGATAGTGACCTATATTATATTTTTCATTTATTATAGCATTATTTCTGTTGTTATTCTGTTTATTATAGCATTATTTCTGTCACATATTATGTTGATCTGTTCCTTATTTCTCTAAATTTTTCCAGCAACTAACACTAGCATAGTTATCCTAATATAGTTCACAACAGTGCAGTAAATGTGTGTTTCCTCTTAATATATTGTGTATAATATGTGCAGGGAAAACACAGGGAATTTGTTTTACAGACATGAGTGGTTGTAACATTGTGTTTGCATTGAAATGTCATTTTTCTGGAAAATTACAATTACAGGATATCTGCCCACCTGGAAAGTTATGAACTTCGGTACTGAACAAATTTTGTCATGAAATGTCAGGATTTTAACTTTTTTTTTTAAATCATGAAAAGTCGTAGATTTATTCCGCCAAAAAATCAAAATTTTAAAATGGGATTTACTCCCCCGCCCCCAATTTCATGGTGTTCCGAATATCTGAATCTGCATCAAAATCCCCACTCACAGCCATATCTTATTCAAATATAAAATGTTTTTATCATGTTCTATAAAAATTTTGGTGTTCTTCCAAAAAATGAAAGAAAAAATATCATCTTTAGAGCGAATTATCTTTCAAATTTCTGTGATTTCAGAATTTTTGTTTTTTATTTTATCTATTTCAAATTCTAGCTGAAGCAAGCCAGTCGTTGGCAAATATTTGTTTTATTTATATATTCCATAATTGGATTAGGAAAATCCGGAGTATTTCTTTCCTTTCCGACAAAGAAAGTATCTTTAGAATATAATTCTGCGAAAAAAAAGAAAACAGAAATTACTTGCCTTTGTATTTTTTCACTTATTTTATTGCTTCAACTCTTTCTTTCCTGTTTTTTTAAATTTAAAATCAATAAATATGAATATGCAGAGTATAACAGTTCTGGTTATACCTATCATTTCAACTAATGTTATAATGCTTTTTAAATGTATTGTTCTGTTTTTGTCAGGAGAAAATAGTAACTTTGTTAAGTCATGAAAAGTTTTTGGAATTAGTCATGAATTTGAAAATCTAAAATGTAGCAGATACCCTGAATTACATAAAAAATAAAATAAAATCTTTTAGATTAAACAAGATTCTAATTATTACATATGAATCTAAAAAATATGCATCTTAAAAATAAATTTTAACTAATAGCATATTTAAACAACTAAAGAACAGCATTGTGATGTCATCACAATGTTAATCAGTTGAATTACTGATTTCAATACTTTAGCAATAGCATGTACACACACAGATTTTCTATTACGAATGTATTTGTGTTTTGCTTGGAAAACAAAAGTTTCAGGTCTTAGCTTTGTGTATGTTTAATATTAATTGTGTCAACTACATTGACTATGTTTGTTGGATTAATTAAGTTGACTATGTAGTTAGTGCAAAATACTTATTCTCGTAATTCTTAATGTTTTTTAACTGATATTTTTGTATTCTATATTTTATCTTGCTTTTTTAAAAAAATATTACTTTTATTTATTTATTTTTTAGATCTTCTAATCCAGAAAAAAATAAATTTATAGATAATATTTTATTGTTGGATTCCATAGTTGTCTTTACTCTTTGCCAATTTTGCAAGGTAATTACTTTTAACTATTTTTAAGTTTTCTGATTTGAAATTCACATGTAATAACGTTGTGCTCAATTCTATTTCACTAGAGTTCACCCACTTGTTAAGGATATCAAAACTGTTTTATGTCAGTAAAATTGAGGTCGAATCACATTTTTTAGTAAAAAATAATCCTTAAAAAATGAGAAAAGAACCCTAAGGCAAATTATTTTTAAAATGCTCAGTACTTTTTGAATTTTTTTTAATAATAAATTGAAAGACAAACCGCCCTTTTATAAAATAAAGGAATGTTTCAAATGATAATACAAAAATTATTTATTCAAATAATTGAAGTTTAATTTATCTGTGGTGGAAAAAATTTCATTGTCTTTCATGTAAAACTCCTTTTTTGTCGAATGTTTCGATATTGTACTATCAACTTGTTTTTTCTCCTTCCTTTTTTGGGTTTATTTTTGAATTTCCTCCTGTTTGCTTTTAGCTCCCATCCTTGATAAACTATTAGTAGAACAGTAATTTTTTCTCATTATTAACATACAATTTTTACATGTTTAACATTAAAGTTGTAACAAACTTGTCGTAATATGCTGTTGTATTGGACTCTGTCATTTCAATATGACGTTAACAGAATCTCATATTCTTTTAGATTTGTTGTTGTGGGTGCCTCTTTCAAAGTAGCCAAATAATTGAACCTGGACTTGATGAGGAGTCTGCTTTTATACAAAAACTTTTAAATACTAAAAACGTATCAGAAAGTGATATTAGACATTTCAATCCAGTTCTACAGTAAGTTTACAAAACATTTATCTAGTTTAAATTTCATTATGTTTCTAATTTATTTTCCTTTTTTTTGTTTCTAAAGTGAAAAAAGTTTTTTGAAAAACCTTGAGAGAATGATGATGCTTTAAAGTTTTTAGGGTAGTGGAGCATTTAATTTAGCATGAGATAATTCCTGATAATTTTCCGACAAATTTTTTTTTTTTCTTTTGCCTTTTTGAGCTTTTTACCTTAAATTCTTGAGTTCAAATCCATTCAAAATGCTCCAGATAGCATTAGAGGATACATTGCATGCTCCATAAATCCCAATAAATATTTTATAATTGTACATAGTCAACATTTTTAACACAAAATGGACCAAAAATGGAAAAAATTTTGACTGTTTAATTTTGTTCTTTATGTTATTATAAAAGTTAGAAAATGGTTTTTTATTACAAAAATAGTATTTTTAAATGCAATAACCACTGTATTTATAATTTTTACATACACGTTAACTGTGTTTTCATCATAGAAAAAAAATGGGTGAGAATTTCTCACCCTTTCTCAAAAACAGGGTGAGATTTCAAAAAGATAAGTGGATTTCTAAAAAGAAAAAAAAACACAAGAACTCTTGAAAAAATAAATCATTTCTTTAATTATAATACATTTTTAACATCTTCTATTTTTTAAAGCATTGAATATTTTTGGTGCATCATCACAGAAGATTTTTATTTTCAAGGTATTTGTCCATCTTACATTAGTGGATAAAAAATTCGAACGTCTTACATGAAGAAACCTTACCTACGGTAAACAGAAATGTGTTCTGAAAGGGGTTCCGTGGTTGTGTTCTGTTTTTCGAAAAGGTTCTGAACAAAGCTGGACAGGAAAGCTTGAAGACAGGGCAGATGTTGAAAATAATGAAAGATCCGGGAAGAAAAGTGAAGCAGATTTTATTCTAAATGGCGTAATGTGAAGCTTTTTCCAAAATGCGAGAAATTCGCGAAGTTTGAAATTGATTTATAGAATGCTCCAATTTCTCGCGCTAATCATTTTTTAATGTGAGAAGAAAAAAAAATATGCGAGATTCTCGCGCTGCAGTGAAAACACTGATTAAAAAGGAATGGATTACGCTCATATCTTATTCAATTAGAGCAAATTTAAAAAAAATTTTGAAGCTGAATATAAATTGCATAACATAATATTAAAACATAACAGAGTGGCCACCCACCTTGAAAACCTGGAATTATCAGGGAATTTTTTTATACTGGAAAAAACCTGGAAAAGTCAGGGAAATTTAGATAAAAACCTGGAAAAATCAAGGAATTTCAAAGATAAGCTGGAATTTTTCTTTTAAGTTAAATTATTTTACCATCCCTTATATCTACTTTTATTTAGACGTAAATTTATCGTAAAAAAGTTGAAATATCAACTCAGCAATACTTTTCTTGCATTAAAATTCTCTTCATTATTACCCTGCTAAACTAAAATGCCATTTCAAACTCTTTTATGTTGGGAAATGAATGGAGAAATCTTCGACCTCTTTGAAGATTATGGGGCAGTTTAAGAAAGGCAGAACTGTGGAAGAAAGAATATTTGCTTCTGTTTATAACAGTAGTGTTTTTTTATTTTTTAAATCTTCTTTTAGTCTGTGGGCTGAATTCATTAATTGTTGAAGTTTGTTGCGACGCTTCGAGGGTATTTTTTTCTTAAGCAAAATTATTCAAAATGCTTTAGTATTTTTAACTTTATAAAATTCTCCAAAAAATAATTGGATATGATTTAGAGACTTTATGTTGCACTCTTTTTCTGAAAGCTTTTGTCCAATGAATTATTTTTTCTCAGCAAAACCAACCAATTGCTAATAGCAAAATTTTTACAATTGTTGCATTGATGCTGATTTTCTGGATTTCATGATAACTTTTATTTTGATATTTCTGAAATTGTTTCTCTTTTTACCCTAAAAAGCTGACAAAAACCAAGAAATGTATGGAAGACATGTTGAATGATATATAAACTTAGAATGGAATTTTTTAAAATTTATATTTGTTTATTAGAAAGAAGGGGAAAAAAACTTTGTTTTTTTGTTCTGCACTGTATAGGGACAGGTTTCAAGTTGAGCAACCAGATGACCAAAATTTTAAACTTAATATTAAGTAAACTAACTAGGTATCATTTCCAATGTAAAAAATTGAAGATTTAGAAATAATGATTTTTTTATCTATAAATATCAGTTTTCAATAAGTCATAGGCTGTTAAATGAAGGGCAACATCATTTGAAATTTTCAACCGCGGTAAGGGAATCTGTAACAAAGTACAGTTTTTTTTTTTTTTTGTTTTTTTATTTTTGAAAGAATTCACACTAATAATAGAAAATGGAAAGAATAATAATTAAAGTAAACTATAACAAAACAGGTTGTCTTGCACAAATATGTAGAAACATTTTTCATTTTGATTTGCTATAAAAAAAATTCTCAAGATACACTTTTGATGTTTTACATGCAACGCCAAAATGCATAATTAATTGTACTGTAGCACTAGGATTTAATATAATCAAATTATTTTTTCTGTTTAAACCAAGATTTTGGTAATAATAAATATTTTTATTTTAAACTAATAATTA